ACCCTTGGTCTGGCTGCTGTAGCCAAATTTGGGTTGGGGCAGTGGTGGGATTAGAATAACTTAACAACTGGTTCTCTGCCCTAATGACCAGCTGGGTAGGCGTGGCTCAGTGGTCATGTGACTGTGTGGGCGTGGCCAAATCAACATCACTCAGGTCGATGGGCGCTTCGCCTTAGCTGTTACAATGTCATAAGGGTTAACCGGAGGGGCAGTTTCTGTAAGCAGGGCAATAAAGATGAGGCTAGAAACAACAATGTTTACTTCCTGCCTTCCTTACAGGAATTAGCCCTGTAAAGTGGAAAAAAACAAAAGGAGATTTCTTCCAACAACCTCGTTCTCCGAACTGCTTAGAAAGTTAACAACAGGTTCTCCCTAATAGGTGGGTTTTGATATGTATTAGAATTTGAAAGACTTCTGAAATTTAAGCAAAATGATTTTGCACAAATGAATAGGAAACAGAGTTGTTTGAACCAGACGTATATATTATAGTCCAGAAAGTTCGATAATGAGCGTTGTCAAAGCTGAAGAGGAGTTTTGAATTGGAAACACCACACCCACACACCCACACACACACTTCAAGTTGGACTGCCCTATTTCGCTGCAAACAGCTGTTTTTGAGTGTGAAAAAAAAATTCTCAAAACAGCTTGTTTTGCTTTGCGAGCAGCTGTTGTACATTGAAAATGGGGCATTTCACACTTCCAATTGGAATGTTTTGAATTACACATGATTGAGTTGCGACTATTTTATAGATCCTGACTTTTCAAAAAAAAATTGACTTCTTTGGGGAGAAAAGGAGAACTACAAGCAGACAGCTTGGATCTGGGCCCCTTTATCGCTTGCCAAAAACAGAAAAGGGCTCCTTGGTGAATTTTTGTTACAGCCCCCCATGTTGTAAAAATCAATGGCTTGACATTTTAAGAACATATGTTTAAATAAAAGAATAATCTGTGCAAGGGTGGTTCTCCCATTTCGCTTGAGATTAATTACTGCCTGTACGCGACACAGCAAAAAAATAATATTTGAATCATTACCTTTCTAAAGATCAGGCCACCCAGAGTTCCACTCCTGATTTTTCTCATGCCGTCTGCTAAGGAATTATTTTTCTTTTCTAGAAGGCCACCATCGCATAGAACAAGTAATTCCTAGGAAAATGAACACTTATTATTATAGTCATAAGATAAAATAATGGTGTGATTTTGTTTTAGGGAAGATTAGGGCATATTGTCAGGACAATCCCTTAATGTTGAGATGCCTGGTGTTGGGCAGAAATTATTCAGGCATAATGGAAAAGCACCGAATGCTTTCACAAAGTAATTATGGGTGGGCTTCAAAAATTTCAGCAATGGGTTCTCTGCCAGGTTGCTGGGTGGTGGGCATGGCCAAATCCTACTTTTGGCTGCCCCCCTCCCCTCCCAGGAGTCCCCACGTGGCGTGTTTTGGATGCAGGTAAGTGCAAGGGGCACACAGAGACTCAGCGAGGGCAAAAAATGGGCCTACCAGAAGTTTGGGGAGGCCGGAAATGAGCCCATTTCTGGCCTCCAGAGGGCCTCCGGAGCCTGTGGAGGCCATGTTTGCCCTCCCAGAGGCTCAAGGAAAGCCTTCCGAGCCCAGGGAGGGAAAAATGTCCCCCCCCCCCCGTTGGTGCAGAAGGCTGACTAGGCCACACCGACCATCTGTAAAGTTCCCAAAAGATGACCTAATTAATTTACGAGCCTCGAGACAAAGTTCAAAAGAAATCCAGTCATTTATTAGGATCAACATTTTGGCATGTTGTTCTGTGGAGCCGAAACTGATTTCCAGTTAGTGGTCTTTGCACTTTACCCCTAAGTCTCCCCTCCCTCAGTCTGTGTCATAAATCATATCTACCAACAAGGTTGTAGAAATATGAGATCCGTCTCTGGCCGAAGGTATGCATGGAATCCTCCCTCCAATGTCAACTTGATAACAGTCATGATAACGCTTTACAAGTTGACGCCATGGCCAAGCAACCAGGCAGAGAAGCCCTTGCTGAATTTTTTGAAGCCCCCCCCTGCCCCTAAGATACACTACCTTGCTTAGGATTGGGTTCTTGGTGATGTCAGTAACGGCTCTATGTGGTTTTCTTGGCATTTATTATGGATGGATTTGTATTGCTTTCTTCCAGAACATTTTTCTGGTTTCCCAGTCTAACAACCCTGATACTTCTGGCTAGACTCTCGTCCCAATGCTAATGAGGTCCCACCTCACTTAGCTTTTTGAGATTGGTTAGCCGCTTCTTCCTGCCAATGCCATCCTTAATATTAATTGTGAGCTATCGTCGGTGTCAACTCTTAGTGACCGCATAGATAGATTTTTTCCAGGAAGCTTAATATAACAGGGATGACATTCGCGTCTTATTAGATGAAATCATTGTTAGATCTTTATGGCTTTTGGAAAGGATTCAGAAGTGTTTTCGATCTTGTATAAGAGCTATTCATTAAAATCGCTTGGCTTTTTTTAGACTTTGGTGCGGGGGACAAAATGTGCATTAAGAGCTTTTCTTCAGGCTCATGTGGAGTGGAGGCTACGTTAATGAGTAGCAAAAAGGAGTTGTCCTTGCCTGATGTCCAAAGCGACGCTGAATCATTTTCAGACTATTTTTAATATTGCACATCCTACTTACACTAAAAAAAAGGGCTAAACTGGAGAAACCCAGATGATTTTCAAAGGAATGGTTGAATTTGAATTCATCCAGCACAGGTAATCCTTGAGTTACGACCATAATTCAA